CCATGCCGGGCCCTGGATGTTTAGGGAGCATCGAGCAAGGGTATATATATTGTTTCATAGTTTTATTAAATAGTTAGACCACTGATTACGAAATGTTTATGCGCTTGTTTGTAATTAAGCACAAAGCTACACAAAGAGCTATCTGTGCTCTGCCCACCACGGGTATCGAAACCCGGATTCTAACGTTGTAAGTCCGCAGACATACCGCTGTGCCACTAGGAGGCGATGTTTATGCGTTTCAGTCCTGCTAATAAAGTTCCGTCGTAAAACTGTGTATAATTACTCGTGTACGTTCATGATGAAAGTTTTAGCCATAATGCATTAACGCTTCTTCTGTAGTATCGTGTATGTATTTCGTATTTTGAACGTATCGCAAAGCTATTAAGGGTATTTGTCACTTCCCTTAAGTTTTCAACTTCTGCCCATAGGAAAAGCAGCCAGTCAGCATCACCCACAATTCATGGTAATAGATTGACTATCACTCTTATAACGCACCCACACCTTGAATTGCAGGGAGAAATTTGTGCTACTGTACGGATTCGAGCTCGGCTCGCCAGCTCCAAAATCCAAAGTTTTAACCATAGGGTCAGCTCACGCCCATTCCTGTGTACAGAGCATGTCGTTTGTGGCGGAAAAAGCGTTCTCTGTAGTGTTTAATGTATAATATCCTACCAAAAGTCATGGGACATGGGTAGTTATGAATAAAACATGTCTTTATTCCAAGCGTGTTAGCCTGTTTTTTGGCCTTAATGGCTGCTTCAATACGTCGTGAAAGACTGTAGAAAGCTGGTGATGTTTTGCTCCACTCCTCCTTTAAAGCACCAGTAAGCGTCATTACTGAAGAGGGCCAACTTGACTAATTCTGCGTTCCAGATCATCCCAAAGATGTTCTATCGGGTTGAGATCGGGGATCTGTGCTGGTCACTGCAACGTTCTGATGTTATTCTCTTCAAACAACGCGTTCATAATCCTTTTTTTTTGTGACATGGAGAGTTATCATGTTGGAAAGTGTAAGGGCCGGTACCATAACATTGCCACAATGTAGGACCCATAGAATGTAGGACTCATCATTCATGGATCCATGCACTGCGACCAGTGGACCTATTCCATACCATAAGAAGCACCCCCAGGCCATGATATCGTCACTTCCAAATTTCACTGTTCGGACAACACACTCAGGTAATAAGCGTTCTCCAGGCATCCTCCGTACCCAAACACGCCCATCAGACTGCAAGAGGGTATAGCGTGACTCGTCGCTCTACAGTACCGATTTTCATTGATCCACGATACAGGTTCTGTGTGCCTTGCCCCATGCAAATCGACGGTGTGCAAATTTATTTTTGTTGTCAACTGATTGTGGGCTGCAGCTCTTCCGTGAAAATTCATGA